CGCTCCTGAACCTTGCAGACACTTGATTCGTTGTATCACTTCATTTCAACATCACTGATTTCAGATTTATAAGTTAACGTTAAATGAATATCATCCGTACTTCCCGGTATTCCTCGTATTTGCATTATTGAGCTAAGTTAATTAGGCTTGATCAATTCTATTAATTATACATGTAGTGCTGCATGCCCTCGTTAGACATTGTGGTTCGTTGGAACAGTTTAGAATTACTCTGCTCTGAATGAGGTCAGTCACGTGTCATCGCGTATTTACCGTCTCGCCGCCTTTTTGCTTACCAATGGTGGACCTAAAAGTGCGCGTGGTGAATATGTACGGACACTTCTGTGCAGTCAGGTCGGTCACGTTGTAGAACAGTTCCGTCGCACGAGATTTATTTTCTTGCATTTTCGGGAAACGTGGTGAAAGCCTACGTCCAAGGTTGCTCTCAGCTATTACTATGTTTCTCAAATTAGCGGAAAATCGGATTTTTGGGATGATTTCGCGTCGTTTCGGCAAAGTTTGCTCTTTGTCCTACGGATAATCTTTCGAGCAATGATGAAACGATTGACGATGGGAGTTTTCCTTACTTTCGCCCGCGAGCTTTGTGTAGAGGTTGTTCCTCGCGATAATTTCATGTGTCGAATCGAGCATTGTCCAGGGGTCCGGCAGTGCAATGCACCGTAACGACCACGGTTAATGCTCGGCTGGGACAACGATTTTTCGTTATTGCAGGAACCGCATTCTCCTCGGGGCGTTGTACAGCATATTTCAGGAGCTACCCGACTGGGCTGTTCCCCTTAGTACGTCGAAAAGTTAGGCACACTGTACACTGGTCTTTGAATTGGGGACGAATCGTGCGCTATCGGTAGTTCCGCGGTATCGCGTTCGCTACCAGTTGTTGGTATCGGAGATCCTTGGTTAACAAGCTGTCCCCTCCCCAAATGTACCGTTTCGATTAAAAACTCCGTTTTAATCGACGCATACGATATTCTACACTATCAATAGTATTTCGTCGCCCCGCGGTTTAATCACATGCATTTGACCAGTAATGTGTAGTACTATTCGAGATTAATAGTCTGGTCACACTACAATGGAGATGCTTACAAGAAGTTTCAAAATAGCATTCAAATAATATGAACAGTTGTGCGCGTTTATTCACGCTGGACGCATCTTGAATTGCACAATATTTTAAAATTTGCATGCAGAGTGTTCTACATTCAATTTAGATGAAGGTTTCAGTGAAGAAGCCACATTTTCGTGAAAAAGACGTTCAAGTAATTTTCTAATCGTACTGTCTTTCCCTCCCGAATCGATATCCTCTGCCTTTGTACGAATCATCTTATTGCTTCAATGCGATGATTGTTGGCACGACCTGTCGGGAGATTTCCTGCTTGAAGAATTCCGTTCATGACGTTCTTTCCCATGAATCGTATAATGATTCCCGTCAAGTCGAAAACTTTCGGAAATTTGTGATTGGATGCATGCCGAGGTGTTCCGTTTTTTTGCGGTTACAGGGTGTGAACAAATCTGGTGTGTTGAAAATAAGGTTTTCACTCGTTGCTCCGTGTGAAGTCCTGTCGTTAAAAGTTGATGAAGTTCATTGTTTCACCGTGCGACCATTTCTGTCCGAGATTCTTTTACTGTATTCATTTTTAAATCCTTTACTTTGGAAGCGGTTGCATTTTTGAATTCGGTTTCGTTCCGATGATTTTAAATTTCCTTTCCCAACTTCCATTTCTTGAGAAACAGTGCTGCTTCTTGTGAAGTCCCCCTCCGCTATAAAACTTATGTTTTGTGGCGTGAAGTGTTCCGGGGAAAAGGTACGAAAGACCAGAGTGTAAAACCGCGTATGAGCCCTCTGTGTGTGTGCTCGTGTTTATCATTTTTTTCTCCTGCGTTTTGCTTCTTTCCAAACCCGAGTGCTTGGCGGTAGTGTGTAATTCGCCTTTTGTTGGGCTCGAGCTCCCGGGATAAGAATTCCTGTACATTCACCCGTATGTGATCCCCGCGGTACTCCGGGGCATTAGTGTTGTGGGCAACAGGTGGGTGCAACGTGGGGAGAGCAGTTGAAGCGCTGCTAATGCATGTTTCCTTCATTGCTTCGTAGTGTAAAACCTCGGCAATTGCTCTTGTACTGTACTTGGGTTACCTTCACAGACCGCATCTTCATTCAGGTGCGGGCGGGAACAGGGGAACGTCTCCCAAGACGACGCTTTCGTCAGCAGTGCATTTCCTGAGCATTGAAGAAAGGATGTGCAAATGTAAAGCGAACCAAGTTCAAAACAGCTCCAAACCCGACTTATCAAAAATCCCAAGGATTATATTCCCGTTCGCTATTTTATGCAGAAGAATGCAAGGGTTGGGGTTGAGTTTCCATCGGCGTACAGTATTCCAGCCTGAGTGGGTAACAATTGAAAGCATGGCTCAATGAGGATCAAATATTATTCAACACATTCCGCCCGTCTTCGCCCATTCATTCAACAAAGAAAATGCCGTACGCATGTGACCAAATGTGTGAACCAGAACGTTTTTCACAGATTTACCAAGGTGATCAACCTAATAGTGTTGAACGGTTCTGCATAAATACCTTTTCTCTTCTTTGTCTTTTCAATTGGGACTGTTGAGGTGATAGTTTATTAAACTGCAAACATTTGTTCCTCGGATTGCGTATTTTTGCTTATCATCGACGATCATAAATTCAGGAGTAGCTAGTTTTATAAAATTATTTTTCTGAACCGAATCAATTCTTTGATCGGCGAATGCGGGGTTTTTGGTAATTTTGCGGTCCTTCAGCCTTTCCGGTCGGAAATATACAGGGTCAAATTTGATAGTAAAAGACTGTAAACTATGTAAACTTATGTACTGTATAGGTGATGGGAACTCCTCACTCCTACACCAGCGGAACGCGAAAACCGTGGAGTGTTCTCAGTCAAGGCATGCGCGTCGAACCAGAAGTTCCACGTCGCATCGTATCAGGCGGCGTTTGATATGCGACCCGTGACTGGCATGCCATCGTTCGATAGCCCGGAACTGACTGGTCTTTTGGAAAAGGGTGTGTATGATCGCCAGGCGTTTTTGTACACAACGGTTTGGAGCACAATCGAGCGACAGACAGACGGCTGTGTGTGTGTGCTCATTCCGTTGACGCCGGGTTTTCGTGCGTTGTTTGTGTAGCTATCCCTTGTGATTTCGTCCCCCAGAAAAGGTTCTCAAGACTTCTATGTGCTCCGCGGCTTACTTTCAAGTGCACGCGGATCTCTTTTGGCTCCGCGTAAGCCCTTTCCATTCAGGGGCTCCGCGACTGCTTCACAGGACAAATCGTTGGGATACGTTGAATGGAATTTGAAAGCAAGAAGTAGTTCGCGCTCAGGAAAAAGATGAGGAAAACTGTGTCTGTAACTCAAGGTGTAACCAGTGAGCAAATTAAACTTGATTGTCTTGCAGCCAAAGAAATAAAAACCATATGATGGCTCATAGGGTAGGTGCGAGGGCCTTCACTGTACAATTTGAGGGTACAGTACAAAGAGAGCTCTCAGAGTAATAAAAGATAAGAAACTCGGGTCTCGAGAAAGATTTGAGGTCATACAATACAGTAATTGCTACCGACGGTTGATTTCTTCTGAAAATTTCTAGCCGAAGAGGAAAAATTGATTACGAGTTGGAAAGCTCGATTCAGGCCTGCCGAAATTTTTTTAAATTGCCAATGTGTTCGTCGTGATTCACGGCTTTGTCATGCTTCCTGCTTTCGTGGGGATCGCCGTCACTTTTCGGCTCGTATTTCACTTCGTCTCCTTCGTGTTTGGATTTGGGGCGCAATCGTTCCACTGTTGAATGCTTCTCCATCCTCGGTGATTTTTCTGTAACTATTCGAAATGAGCGAAAGAATTATATTTTTTTGAATCGCCCTGGTCCCCATTTCGAGAGCTCAATTATATTGATCATATTTACTGTACCCCGTATTTCGTGTACTTCTAGGAGAAACTTTCACTCGATAGGAAGCAAATTTCCTTGTGATAAATTCAGAATAGGTACAGTATTGTGGAACGGAATATACATTATTTACGCTTCGATTAACCGCTTTCAAGTTTTGATTCATGGAGAGGAAGAAAATGACCTGTATATAGGACACAAATTAATTTTGAGATTCCACTCGACTTTGGTGTGGGCATTTTATTTTTTATTTTTGAATGGTTCAATTTACTTTTTTCATCTTTGATGTTCACTAAAAGGAAAGTTTTTCAAACTAACCAATTGCAGTTTTTAATTATCCTGATATTTGGACCCAGACACTTCTAGATTTCGGGAATGTTGGACTTGGTAATATCGTGTCAGGTCATCGTCGATTAACCTTTTCGTTCCATATTCTTGAATAATCCCTCATCTATGATATTCCATTAAAAGAGCGAAGTTCAGTATCCCAAATAATCTGGGTTCTGTGGCACTCGAGGCTTGTGTTCGCTCATCTGAAGTATGGTACTCGTGTAGTTCAAATCTCTCGTTCGTTGTATGGGGAAAGCTCGTTTCGCTTTGATTGCTTCTTAGGGTGGATTATGTTACTTTTGGTCTCATTCCTTCAAGTTTTCACTCGTCATTGCTGATTTATTCGTCGAAGAGCTTGGCAAAATATATATCTTCCCTTGCATTGCTTCGAAGTCCGGTAATTTCCTAATGCTGTGAGACGGAAAGCCGAGATTGTGTTCTGCAAATTTTCGAAGGCGCTTCGTACTTCCACAAGCCTCAACAATCGTTGATCTGGTTGCTGCGGGTTCCAGAGGGCATGTGTTGAACGTTTGACCTACGGCTCAGTAACCGCTCGTTGCGGGCCAGATGTTTCCTCGCCGGAAGTGCACTGATGTGTTCCGGCGGTGGTGGAAAAAAAGAAAACGAAACAAGTGGGTGGCAGTGCACACGACCCGCTTGCTTGCGAAAGACGCGTGTGCTAAATTCCTTGCAGATTAGGCGAAGACCGCTGCACCATACTGTACTCTGGTTTCCTTTTCCACAGATAATGCCATGCGACAAAGTTAACAGACTTGCATCTTCATTCGTGCCGAGCTGTGACGAAACTCGCGGCGAGGCGATGGCGTTTTACGGGAATAGTGCGAATGTTCCGTACGCGCTTACGAATCGTATAATTGACAACTCGGGTTTGTGTGTGGACATCGCTGATGATTTCGGGGACGACGGGAAGCTCTTGAAGAGCTCGGTTGTGGAGGTACCGTCGAATTCGTACGCGTACAGTGGCTCTAGCTCCAGTCTCAGTGCACGCTACGGGCATTCGCCGAGGATCTCGCCCTACGATTCCGACGAAAAATCAGTGAGTCATCGTATTGTATTTCATTTTCTGCCCTTCACGCATGCCAAATCGGTACAGTAAAGTTCCCGTCTGAATTCCCGCAAAAACAATGCATTAACAACCTCTCGAAGGATTTTCCCCTCAAACCTCAGTAACTGAAATTTTTTAGGCCTTTCGGCTATTATTTTCTTGACACATGAAATAGAAAAGCAATAAAGGAGTAACTTGATGTGTTTTTAAAGGAAGTGCTAGACTAAATGGGCGAATGAACCCTGCCTCCAAGTTAAGCATCCTGTCGGCTCATTCAAGAAGAAATTTAAAGCAGAGAACATCACCCTTCAGTCTTCACAATTTCCTTCAATTCAATTCTTCTGTTTCCCACAATAAAAATGCTTGTTTCTCTAACTCTAAACCTCCCCAAGTCGATATGTTTTGCTGGACCCTTGAAATTTGACGTAGAGAGGTTCTACAGTACTGTGAAGTCAATAAATGTACTGTCTCTCGGCAAGGATTTCGTCCGCGGCTATATTCACCACCCATCTATTCTTTTCCCGGCATCAACAGACCTTCGATTAATGTGCGAGCAGCTTTTTAATGATAAAATCATCTTTTACTGTGCGATTGGTGTTTATTTTTGGTCCCAGACGTCGGGCGTTTTCGATTAGTAAGTGACACGTGGCGAACGTACCAGTTGGTACGAGCAATTTTCCGTGAACAAAAGTTCGGATGTTCCAAGTCTGCATAAATCATTTATACTTAGTCTTTTTGTAGACCACTAATATGAAACAATGAAGCGGTTCAGGTTGAATCTGAAGCAAAGTTCAGCTACTGCCTTTCATATTTAAAATGACGAGCCATTGAAAGTAATTCATAATTCATGCGACTCCGACTAGCATATACTGAATTCCACAACAATAACATGTGGAGTTGTTAATTATTATTGTCCCACTCGTTTTCCCGCAATTTTTCCCAGCACCTATCCAGGAAATTACAAGTGCTGTACTTCGGCTGTAATGTAACAATGGTAGACTTACCTTCTATATGCTTAATAGAACCAGCTGAACTAAACCAGGATCTTTCCAACTTGGACCGTCGGGCACGTGCTGCATCAAATCAGGTTACTATTCATGCTAATACAATCAGTATTTATTTTAATCGGGTGTGAAACTCGCATTGACTTGCATTTGGCATTTCCGTTCCCGGTAAGATCCGCGAACGAGTTTCCCCTAAAAGGCCATGGCATTTGTTCTTTTTATGTGCGTGAATGGAGGCGCTGAAATACTCTCGACGAATCCGTGAAAAGAAATCGGTAGCCCAAGAAAAGGGAATATTGCCAGGGTGCAATTTCACGATCGTCAACACATATTTCAGTTTTTTTTTTGGCATTCTTCGTGTTACTGATTTGACTCCATTGTCCTAGGTAGATGGAACTTCCGTGCTGGTTATCCAAGCGTGAATTTTAGGGCGAAAATGTCGTTTCGTGAAACAATATACAGTATGGTACAGTAAATTCAGTGCGTGCTCGGATTCGATTCGGAAATTGCTTACTGCTCTGTAATGTGATACTCGCGGAGTTTCATTTTATTATTCCAGCTTTGAATGAGAATAATTTCCTCATCTTGCGTCGCGAATTATACGAAAATCCGGATTGCTCATAAAATTGAGAAATATGAAGCGTCACACCGAATTTTTCGATTCGTCAACGCTGGTGATATTACACAGTTGCCGTCGCATGATTTTCGAGTTCTGAGTTAATCCATTATTTATGGTCTTCAGCGTAGGACGGTGGTCGGGACTTTTAATGTACAGTAATATCAAAACGTCTGTTGCGAAGTTTACGATGTCTTGCGTGCAGTGGTCAGTTGAGTTCCTGCGCAAGACATGGTTGATCTGCGTCCATAAAACAAAACAGGCCGCGGTACTTCTTAGTGATGCTGATATCGCGTGAGCTATGGTTTATTGCTCTTACCTAACGCTGGGTCAGGTGCATCGATGGTTTCAAAATTTTCATTTTATTTTGTGGATGGAAGGAAAGGGTTCTCTCAAGTTCTGTGAAATACGATCCTGGTAATCTACAACGACGTGAATGGAAGAATGATGTCGATGTCCGTCGCAATTTTTCCATTGGAAACGCATTGTGGCTCTTGAGGAGAGAGGATGGAAGACAACTCGATAGTTTTTTTTAGAGAATCTGATTCAAAACTCGTCTCCAAAGAATGAACGATTCCTCTTCATGGACTAATTAACCGAAAGAGTTGGATAGTACTTTTTTCTGTTGGATGCATGAGTGATATACAGTAGAGTTAATTCACGGAGTACTAAAGGTACTCTGTTAGGTATTTTTCTAGTTATTCCTCCACGTTTCCTCGCTCAAATTGAAACGAAGGGAAGGGTGTTGGTTTCAAAGAGTTTCCTATCACTCCGGGAAGTATGTTTGTACAGAAACAGTCTTCGTACACGCGAATGTTGTAAGAATTTGATGGCATTCTTTACTCGTACGAAATAATAAAAATCATGGAAAATCATAACTACATTATCCGTGATTTAACAGCCACATGTCAATGCAAGCTTTCTAGTTTTTGTTTTTCAATTTTCGTGCCAGCGGTGCTGAATTTGAAGGCTGTCTTGACAGTCTTGTACTAACATTTTAATTGGCGACGAATGATTTGTGAAACTCAGGCGTGCTTCAGGCGTTGATAGTGACGTAAAGTACTGATTCCGTAGTGGTTCGGAGGTTTTTTGACGCGGAAAGTATTGGTTCAAAATATTTTAACATGATTTAAAGGTACATTTTTGAAACGCATTTGAACTACTCCTCGTCGATGGACTAGAAAAAGGGCTTTGAAAACATTGATTGTTAACTAGAAGTACGTTCTTCTTTGTCCCATAAAGCGAATTCGAACGATTTCTGAGCTCCGGGAGGCCCAGTTCAGAAAACTATAACCTGTAGCTGCATACTTTTTCATTCGTTTGTCTTGTTACTCGATGTTGGCAATGATAACACAGGCAAACACTTCATTCGACGAGGAGATGACGAATATAAAGATCCGGCATTCCGATAATTTTCCCCCATTTTTGTCATCTGCTGAGCCCAAATAGAATTCGTTTATTTTGAATGACTGCATGTTTTTGGAAGTATTTTTCCGTCATTATTGTATCATGACAGGAATCACACCTGTCGAAATGCACGCCTCCGTCGGCAGTAATTAGCACTCATCGTTCGTGAGTCAGCCTTTCTGACAAAAAAGGTCCGAAAGCGTTGATTTGTGAAGCCAGCGTTCCATATTCGATATTGCCGCTATCTTTCCTTGCGATTAATGTTCCAATCCGCTTAGTTTTTTATATTGAGAAAGATTCTGTAAAAGAAAAGAACTGACTACTTCAAAGCATTAGATATTTCAGCCTTTGCCTGATAGTACATTTTTCTGTCATTTTGCCGTACAATGTATTTCTGGCGCTTGTGTATCGCTTGGTGACGGCATCCAAACATATGTTATCTAGACACATTTTTTCAACCCAGTTCTTTTCTGGATTCTTCAATTCAACAAACTTTTTTATTTATATAGCTGTTCTTACTAACACGAAAACTATACGAATGTGTCCAGATAATATCCAGAGCGATACAAGGAAGTCGGCATCGCTGTGCTGTAATGGCATTGAGCTTAATATTGAGTTTTTTATTTAATCGAAAGCTATTTCCTCCTAGATTGTTTTGAGAAAGCCGCCTTTTTACAATTTGTTTAGAATTTGACATGCGATGTCAACCTCAAAGTTCAACTTTCCTTCGCGAACTTGGGATTGAAAACAAGTGTTTGAAGTCTTCCAAACGAGAGGAACTGTAGAGACAATTTCCGAACTGCCGTAGATGACAGCGGCTGTGTTTACAGGGCTGAACAAGAACTTTCGAAAATGTATCCATGCGGAAATGGAAAAATCGCTCGTACTGACTTGTGTCTTTGATCATCCAGGGACTTGTATTCACATATGTCTTAAGTCTTGAGGGATAAATAAACGAATGCGTTGGGTTCCAACAATTGATGAGTTTGAGGAGTGTGTAATTTCGATTCCCAGCGAGCTCAGAGGTCACACTGCTAGCTATTCTCCGGGCATTCGCTGTCGGCGAGCGTATGCGTCACGCCGCTCGAGCGCCAGCAACGCTAATGCCACTCGTCCATTTTCTTAAAGGCTTTCCTTGTAAACAGACGCGGTCGATCGCTAATTAGTGAAAGTCTCGCTCCACCTAAAAACTGTCGCTCTGGTCTAGTGAGCTCACGCGCCCTCGCTCCGTATTTTCGCCGCCCGGGATAGTCGACCCGACTCCGACGCGGTTAACGCTTTGTGACCCACTCTCGCCGCGGCGTGAAACTTCAACTTCAATCACAAACGTCTTTCCGAGCGTTAATTGCGACGTTGTGCAACGTTGATCGGAATTACCGCGAACTGCTTTGGGTGCGAGAGAAGAAGAAATGAGGAAGCGCCATGACTGGACCCGCGTCGTGACTTCCGTAGCGTCCTTGGCGAGACTTCCTGGCTATGTTCTATACTGGTGGACTCAGTGAAACTCACTCCCATTCTCCGCCGCGTGATTCTTGATGGATTGTCGGTCGTAAGGGACCGTGCTTATGCTTGAACTCGGTACTGAATTCGCAGTCTGACGCAAGACTTAACATCCCGTCAACTTATTGCATACGAACGAAGCGATTCCTCCCGGTATTTTTACGCACGTCCATGAAACCTTCCCGGGAACGCAGTAAGGATTACCCGAGAAGCATGCGAGCGATGGTTCAAATGTGTCGTCAATACCTTTGCATTAACTTATTTTCATTCACAAGCTTTTGAACCAGGGTCCTCCAAAGAACTGTGGGGTAAATGAATGTAATTAATGCGAGTACTGTATCTTCATTTTCTGACGATTTTCTTCAATTTCAAACCTGATTTCAGCATTATTTTGCTCGCTAATTGTCTTTTTAAACAACCTCGACATTCAGCATCACTTTAAAAAATCATTTCCGGATTGCGAATTTATTTTCCATTGAAAAAATAGTCATCAGGCTGAGAAATGATCTAAACTCTGAAGCGTCTGGTAGCAATTATAGAGCCTTAAAATTCGTAAAACGTGCAATTTTAGCAGGCCCTGATTCTCTCGAGGGTTTTGGATGCTCATTTTTTCTCGGTTTGCAAGTTGGTTGGGGAACATTTTGAGGAATGATAAAGTTATGCTCTGATAATATAGGTGACTCTCTCTACAACGAAATTCAAAGAACTAGAGAAAATCGTTGTGGAGAGAATTTTGATGTAGAAAATTTCTATAACATGAGAAGCTAGCCCCGCGAGACAAAACTACGGAGAAAATAGCCATATACAAGATCTTTTCTGAGAGAGAGAGAGTCCACCTGTAATCTGTATATATGGTTCACTTCAATGACCTCAACAAGTAAGTACTGAACTAAACTCCTGAATTAGCCTTCGTATTTCAATATACCCTTGAGAAAACAAAATAACGTCGCAGATTTTCTCTGAAGATAAGATTGAATAAATTTCGTGGCGTTTGTGTTTCCGAAAGGAGGATGCCGGTATTTCAACTGGATGAATCATGGATTTCAGTAGTGACTGCGCACTTTTCGGAAGAAAAAATGAACCATATTTTCCGAACGGCGAACAATGCGTCACTTTCAAGCGAGAAAATGCTTTTGTCGAATATTTTTGAATGTTTCCGCCCACGTCTCAGCCAATCTACTGTAGACGGGTCCGTGCTTGTAAGCGCTTATACCGAAAGAGAACATCTTGAAGCCGTTAGGTGTTCCGCATCGTTTACTTCGTTAATAACAGTGCTGATAGTTCTCTCGTTTTAATCGGATACCCGCTTTTCATCTGTCACTTCAGTTCTTGGGACGTAAACAATGCGTATTGTCCGGGAATTTTCCTTTGATTGCCTGTCTGATGAATGCTGCTAGGGCGTGTCTGAGTTGAGGCCTCTGAGCTGCGAATCTTTCATTCCATCAGCACAGTACATCAATCACCTGCAGTAATTTGTCAGAGGTATTATCGCCAGGTAAACTCTATAATGAAGTTCATTTTTACGATTCTGCTCCCGTTGTTTCCATCGGTGTTCGTAGGTCGATTGAATTTCATTGTGACAAATCGTATTCGGAGATAACGTCGATAATAAAGATGAAAATCGAGACATTTTGATGAGTTTCAGGACTAACTAGAGATCCACGCGCTCTCAGACCCGCAACAAGAACATATTTCGGGGAATGGTGATCACGGTTTTTAATTTCTGTCAAAACGGAGGTGTGGCAGGTTGAAGAAAGGGAGAAAATCGTGGCAACAGCAGAACCGCTAGTACAGTATTCGACGCCTTGGAGTGGAAAGGAAATTCGGTCCCTTCTGGCTTACGGCTCGTGGATACTGTCTGAAAAATTCCAAGAATTGCGTACATATTTTCTGGTAGATTAGAAGTTCCCCCAAGAATTCCAAAATTTTAATCTTTCGCAGGCGCTGAACACTTGTTATTGAGGTGTTTCCAAGACTTCTTCCCTTCGTTTGCTGTATCCAACCTTCCTTTGACACTGATTTCGTAATCTTGTGTCTGTAATTACCCGAAATATTCCCGTTTTTGTGGTTTGGTTTCTGGCAGAGCGTGAATCATGCTGTAGAAACACTTTTTCATCCATAATGAAAGCCTATTAGGGAAACAAGTTTTGCGGCGCTTGATGAAAGGACAAAAAGTTGGAATTTAAGAACGAAGCTGATCGCCCTCAGACTCCCGTCCAGGCAACACGCGCGCCCTTGACTGAGGTAATTTTTCTTGTTCCTGCCTGACGAATAACTTGCCTTAACACCGAAACCAAGGGCATCGCATTTTTCAAGTCTGGGATCGGTGTTACGTATCCCATTGATGTGATTCTAATTGGTTGCGTGCTAGCAGAGCGATACCAACGTCGGGAACCTCGTCCAATCTCGCCATGTTTGCGACACTCATTTCTAATTTGAATGACTCTTGTGGGAACATGACGCTACGTATTCATTCCTCCGCTTTGCTCCGGTGGACGGAAACACGCAACCGACTTGAATGAGGGTCCCATTCGCCCTCCGCATTGTTTCGTGTGTCTCAAGTTATCAGCCGCTGCAACTCGGCGAAAGCTGATGACGATGCGATTAGGACCGAGTTGAGCGAATAACAGACCATTTCTGTCACTCGCTGTAGTCGTCTTCTCGAGTTTGTAAACGCATCCATCTGGCTTCTCGTTTCGTATGAATCCAAGTGCCGTGTAAGTTAAACCGACTGCGTCTCGAGCCGTTGTAGTTGACCCTACTGCCAGTTCTCGGAAGCAGGTCCAGCTGGTTCCCCGGTGACTGGAGATTTATGAGTGTTCCCGAATGCAGGCGTCCAATGCTAGGATCGATGGAAAAGTCTTTCTCTCGAAATTTATTCCACTGATGCAGCGTAGCGAGAACATAAAGTTACACGTCTGGTCGGGAGCCTCGTCGCTTTTGAATTCGCTGCGGAACCAAGAGAACGCTCGGAACAGCGTAACTTCACGCCACGCACGTCGAGAAACTCAATGCTGTTCCCCTATTCCTGCGCGATGGATGTGAAGTACGATGGTATGGTCAATGGCAGAAAGTGAATGGCTTCGGTTTTTTTTGTTTTTTTCGAGATGTTAAGTATGCGTGTGCGTTCTTGAGGATCCACTCACTGGAGGAAATCCGCGAGCACAGTTCCAGTGCAACTTCTCAAAGTCTATAACTTCGATTATCCGGACTTACGACCGCCGAAGAGGATTGGAAAGCCTTAAGCCCTTCGTCGTTGCCAACTCGTTGGTTTTCCACTTGGTCGATATTCCATACGCCGGATGTCTTTGTCAGGATGACAAAAAGACAGCATTTTTTTATGAATACCTCAAGTGATACAGAATCACCATTTCCGCGAATCTCGAAGAGCTGAACGTTGCAATTATGGTCTCATCCTATTGAACAAGTTACCTCATGTAATTGTTTCCCTCGTTTTAATAACTTGATAGAATATGTTTGCTACTTTGTTTGTGTTGATCTTAACCCTCAATGCATTTCAAAAATGAAATTCAAGTTGGACTGAATGAAATTCGGCGGCCCAAATTTAATTCGTGTCCGTTGTTTCCTCTGAACGACTGGAAGTTATAATTAATGAAATAATTCCAGATAATCGAAGTTTGACCGCAATTCCAAGTAGAATATCTCATTTGCCTGATGAAGATAATCGTTCCAGTCGTATTTGCATTTGTGTTGGGCTTCTAGTCGCCATAAATCACGCTCCGAGGGCATTCTGTGCCGGCTGTTCAAAGAACATTTTAAATGAGTTTCGATTCTTATCTTCAGAGTTGCTCGGAGGTAAAATTTGCTGCATCAGCAGCTTCCGATATTACTGGCCTTGTTTTAGTGGAAGGGGAAGGGTTGGGTTGAGTTTTGATGACAGCTTTTCATCGAAGTAGTAACATAATTTTGATAGGAAGACTTCTTGCGTGGCTTCGCTCAATATTTCTCAACATTTAATGGAGAATTATTTGAAGGGAATAGATTAAGTAAACTCACAACTTTTAAAGTGAGCTCAACTAATCAGCCAACGATCTGTGAATGGCGAATGACGGAAAGATTCTGCGTTTCTATGATTTAGTTTTTAACCATGCTCATGAATTCAGTGTGTGATCATCGTCGAAATAAAAAAAAGCATCAACACATTTTGTTTCTTGAGTTTTTCACATTTCCGTGAATCCCACTTGTCTTTTAAACTGGAGCGCAGTATTGTTTTCAAACACAATGGCGATCATTTTGATCTAAGTTTTGATGCTGGAAAATATTCTTGAAGTTTCCTTTGTTTTTGGCGACAGTTCGTGATTATTTTTCCGTTTCCTGAATAGTACGCGAAATGGAGGATTGGTTAATTCTTCTTTTTAGAAAATTGACGAGTGCGTTTTATTTTTGGGGTGAGGTCACATTGGATTTTTTTTTTATTAAAAAAAACTGACAAAAAGAATTTAAAGTTAAGAAAACACATGGCAAATATGGTCACATCATTTTTATCCGAAGGCCATTTTGATCTCACGATTCAATTCGTAGATAAATCATGATTTACTGCCGGGAAATATGGTTATTATTCTTCCTTTTCAGGCTGTTATGACATCGTAAACAAATCAGGTGATATGCTGCTTCAAGGGGTGATGGATTTATTTGAACCGCACAGTCCAGATTTTCTCAAGTTTAGCAGAAATTCTGCAATGAAATTCAGCAAAATCGTGATTCCATAAATCTCAAATTATTATTCAGGCTATTAGTGTTGCCCATCGATTCTGTTCATGGACATCTCTCTGAGTCTCTCGAGGAAGTCAATTTAGAATCTGCACTTGCCTTCTATCAACGTTGGGCATTTGTGGTTTTGAAATGCTCTAGAATGTGATGCGATTCTTCTTTTGTTCGTTCGTTCCAGAAAATGAAGACTGAAGTGTGGCGCGGACGTAGTGAGCCCAACAAACGTGACATCCCGGACAGGCTCACGTCTTCCAACGCCACCGTGAGCAAAGTACAGAAACATCTGTGGACTTGGTACAAAGAAGCATTCAGCTGCAGTCCAGTGCTTCCATGGTGCCCCAAATTCCGTCTGCATATGGATGACCACCGTTTTTTACATCTCGTGCAATGTCCCGTGTCGTCGCACGACGAGCTTCTGGAGAGCGTTTACTGCGACGTTGTATCCATCGATAGACTCGTCGCGTCGAGACCCGTGAGTACCAAATCTTTTTCTCTGGAATCCCGAACGGGGCTGGGAGCGAAATGACGAGTTGGCTCTCAAGACGCCGGCACGTGATCGCTGATGGGGAAGTCCCTCCTCGTGGTTATTGTTCCAACATATCCCCAACCCGTGTTTCTTGTATTGTTGGAGGAATATCTTGTGTTCACCGCGGGGCGGCAACGGTCAGTAAGATTTTACTTGTTCCCTGCTCCGTCGCTCGTGAAATGACCCGAGTACAAGCTGTTCGCTGGAGGGATGTACCTGTATTTCTTTCTTATTGTGGGGCCAAGAAAACCTCACGCGACGTTGGCTGCCCCTCTTGCCCCGGAATTCCGATAACCTATTGTATTATTTTCTTGTAACTGCTGACTGAACGCGTGTACATTTATCCATTGCCTTCGATCTGATCGAGCCACCGGCCCTGAAAACGAAAGTCTTATCGGCGACGCGTGCGGTAATGATAAAAGTAGGTCGTATCTCGAGCAATTGAAATTATTCCGAACTCTCCCAGCGGGACTAATCGCACAATGTCCCAGCTATGCGTTCCGGACTATCTTGAAATATTTGGCGCCCCTTTATAGTACGTGATTGACCATCGAAAGTCTGATGGACATCGAAGTTAAAGAATAACGTTATTGTACTTTACTCTGGCTGGTTACAATGCAATGCAAATTGGAGTTACCGCAAGTTTATTCATAATAAGAGTCAAACGCAAGTTGGAGTAATGCTTCTAGTTGGTTTCGGTTGCGAGGTTGTTCGTTTAGGTTAGGTTTGGTTTCAATTTGTAAACCTCGTTAACGTCGTCGGGGTAATCTGATGCAGCTGGGGATCACTTAACGATGTTGTCAATGCAGGTCAGTCACGTTCTAATAAATTACAGTAAAAAATATGGCACGACTCGAAAATGCTTCCGAAGCCTATAACGAGCATCCACTGCCGACAAAACCTGCTTTGAATGGATTCCGATGTGACGAGATCAATCGTCTGAGGTAATTTTTAAAATGCATGCGTCGCGAAAGGCATGTACTATTCGTAGAACCTGCAGAAATATCGATTGGATTCCTACTTCCAAATTCCCTATTGGACTTTCTTATCGGAGTCCCATAGTTCAACGATGTGCGTCATGATACAGTACTCATGAAGAATACCGCTTCTCAAGTAGTCCGGCAGTTCTCGGACTGCGAATGTATTTATGAAAAACAAGTGTCGAGGAATTTTCAAGAATGTTCTAGAACTTTCTTGTGGAATCTAGTGGGCATACGATCTTAAAATTTTTGTCTCTATGGCCGTGTAGATAAAGATCAAAGTTTTTTTCCGTTTTGAACTTGAGGACATGGTCAAGTCTGGAACCGTTATCCACAAATAGCAATCGCTGCGTTTTAGGTTCCACGAAGTTTCGCCTGTCTGAATCGGATCGATACAATGTTGCTGGAGAATTCTGGAAGTTCCTGTGGTGGCTTGTCCTATCTACACACTGATCTTTTCACGATTTTATCTGTCTGTTCTATCACTCATGACTCATGATGCTCGAATACAGTTGCATGGGTAATGAGGGCTGATAAGCGTCGGTTTTAATTCTCCAGGAATTCACTCGAACTGCGCTGGGCATTACGTGGCCGACCCCAAAGCTAAAATTTTTCTGGTACGTATGTTAACTCAGAAACTTTAAAAACCTATGCCTTTTTGCTGTGTAAAATTATAAAGAGGCGAGAAATCCCATTGGTTTGTTTCAACTTCGATTTTACTCATTCAGTGTCGGAAAATACAGTGCAACTTACCAATTGCTGAGTGCGTGGCCCGACCTGGATTACCATGTAAGAAAAAACAGAATCATGCTAAAAAAAAAAAAAAAGACAGACTTTGAAAACTCGCACGTGCAAAAAGTTTTTGCATTTGTATGACCGACAACAATTCCTCAATGTGAGAGCTGTTTTTGATGCATTATGCATTTGTATGACTGCTTTTCGGAAATGTAATAGGAGGCAGTGGGCAGACAAGAGTTGGTCTTTCATTGGGTATTAGGCTTGCATAATTAAGGTACTGTAGTTGGTTTGGAGTCGAATTAGGTTATTTGTGCGTTGGATTAGGTTTGATGACATAGGTGTTAAGTTGCAGTTCAGGGTTTCTCTTAGCGATTGGTCAAGGAACAAGAAAATATCTTGGTGATTTTGGTCGCACCTACTTCGAGCAGTCACATTCTATAACAAAATAAATATTCGTTTGTGTGCGCTAAAATACTGTAACTGGTTACAAGATTTAAAAAAGATTAAAGAAGCTATTTCTCCAAATTCAACTTCCTCTCGAGACGCTGGAACGGTTTCGAAAAACGATTCTTATTGTGTGGATTGGTTGGAGCTTTCTCGATTGTGCCTAACCGTGATCCCACGTTTGGGTCTCTCTGCCATGCAATTTTTCTTGCGCCACTTTCAGTCCAATCCTCTGGTTTTCCACTTGAGTGTGGCTGTGCATGTGTTTTCTCCTTTATTATTCAGGAGTTGCCCCGCGCGCCCGAAAAAGCCGCGAGCCAAGTCTTGCTTCGGCATCTCGCCCAAAGGAGTAAATTACCTCGAACGCCGGAGCTCCAAATATTGTTCCAGTATTCCATCCGTGAACCGCAGCACTTGCAGGAGTCAATGTTCGCTTTTCTCAGAAAAAATAATGAGAAACGGGGTTGAAGAAAACTTACCCAGGATCCAGTCACCATTGGTGGCTGCGCATATAAATTAGGATTAGAAAAGGATGTACGATAAGCCGGTGGAAATGATTATGTGTACCATCATCCGTGGAAGCATGAGCCGCGGCACGGGATTTCCGTACCGACAAGGACGCGGTAATGCGCATTCGTCGAGTCTCCACAAATTATAATTTTCAAAACGGAAGGTCCGAAGGTATTCAGCGCGAATAACTGGGGTTGCAACTTCAAGAATATGAACCACCACAATGACAAAAATGATTTGAAATAAATTACTTTTCTTTTAAATTTTGACCGAGCTGCATTGCCACTTACTAAATTATTTGCAAATTTGAGACATCTCGTCGCGTTTTTTTTTCATTTTATTTTCACAGTAATGCCGAGAACCGTAAAATTGAGCTGAAATACGCCATGTGAAAGTGTTTCCGATTCCCGAAGAGTAACGTGCCACCCGATGATATACCGCAATTTTAAAATGGGATTTTAATCTATCTCGTAATTTTAATTATTGGTGAAGTTGCGTCAGAACGCTATAGCTGCGAAATTCTAGCACCTGAGAGATTTCGCAGCGCCCGCTGCGATGAAACCACGTGCACTTCATGACAGAGCAGCTTCACGTGTGCTGAGGAAAGTAGTAGTCGGCACAACTTCCCATATATCCAAAAATAATCCTGTTCCCGTCGTTAAATCGAACATTTCGTGAGCTCGGAACGGTTCTGACCGGTTTTAATTATTCCCTGGTCTTTAATTGGGGTAACATCGACTTCATCCTTTCGTGTCATAATTTTTTCTGTCTTCGCCGTGTCCCCTTCTCTTCCGCTCGATTTTCCAGGGCAATTTTAGAATTATCGGGTACTGGAGATGATTGCGAGACGCGAGGTAGCGTGTTGGTTGGAAGATAATCGTCATCTTGATGGGTTTCCTCTTTGCGTCGGAGTTCAACGCCGTTTCTCGACTCGGCGTCTTCGTTCGGAAATCGGTGGTGCATTGCGGAAGGTACGATACGAAAAATGCCGCAACGCCTCCTTGCTTTCGACACGGCTTCGCATTTTTTGCTCGGGTTATGCGCTCTTTATTTCGCGTTGACTATGCGAAAGTCGTCGTGGATGTCTCCATTCAAGCGCTGTTTTTTGTTTCCCGCGGAGAGAATTATTCTTGGCATAGATAAGTAAAAAGCTGCGCGATGCTTAGCCCGTGGGGACAAAGTCCGCGGTCGAGTGGATTTCACACGGGTCTTGATGCTGCACCAGAAGCAATTAAAAGTTTCCCTTGCCGTCCTCCTTGTCCGCATGAACGGTGCCGTGAATCATCGCCTTCGTTCACAGCGCCGCTCCCACCTGTAATCACTGCCATTGCTGTGAAGGACAATGGGAATTGAATCGGAAGCCGAATGTGTGATGTTAATCGAGCCTCGCCTATCGGCAAGAAAACATTAAATTTTGTTCTGCTGGAATAAATGGGCATGTTACCTCCGGGAGGAAGGAAATCCCGCAGGTACAAAGCCCTCGCCGCTGCGGTAATTCAACAAGTACTCTACTGCATTCTGCGTCATTAATTTCAACTCCTTGTTTGATTTCATCTTCGTAGGAAGAGTAACAGTACAGTACTGTACTTCACTTTGCAGCGAACAACGAACATATCTTTGGGTAGGAACCAATTGAAAACTTCATGTTCTTGTGGTTCAGCTCAATTTAGGAATCCTTCGTGTTAACGTGCTTACGAACTTCAAAAAATCTGCGCTAAAATGTAACCCTACTCTGGAATGAGAAAGGAATACTTCATAATGCTTGTGCATTGCTATTCATACGAAAACTGTGAATTCCACGTGTATTGATTAGTATCTGGTTAGTTTTTTATATTGTATTTCTCACTATATATTCGTGGATAAGACGAAATCAAAATTAGTCCCTTTTGGAAAAGAAGCGCTAAAAGCGTGCACCACCTCTAAGAAGGGTAATTTTCAAACAATAATTGCTCAATTGTTCTTTCCGCTGTATAACTGTATTGTAATTTTGTATGCTCACCGTCTGTTCATGTAGGATTCAAGGGATTCGTTGCCTTGAGCGAACGTGTCTTGAGTTTCTGGAGCTTAACGTATCTTGGGGCAACACTTGATTGAAAATTTCTTCGAAGTCGAAATGATTGGAATTCCTTAGAAAGTATACTGCCGAAGACCGACGTTTTGTGTTCCGCCCATTTTCGCAGGTCATTCTCAGCCTCGCCCTTGAAAACCACTCCGGTTGTGCCGAAACGGGAGCGCGAAGCGGAAAATTGCCCTCGTTCGAACAAAGACGTGTGAATCCCTTCACAGTGTACGTGTTCGTGACGAAACAAATTTCTCTATTTTCCGTCTTGACCGGCCCGGCGCTAACTCAGTAGCAGCGGAGGAACATGGTTCTGTTGGATCACTTTGATACGTAGTTAATCATGCGGGGTTGCTGACGCAGAAAATACAGCGGGCATTAAAAACTGGGAACTGGTGTGCATCTAATCGGGAACGCTTTTGAGAAAGAAGATTGATCGCGGGAAAACTCGCGGGACCCTACGCCTGTGTCTGCGCTGGGAAATTGAGGCAGAAAATGACTCTTTAATGAGGGATGATGACGCTGCGTGGGTCACAGCGCCTGCTCTATTATCCGAGGATATCCAACGTGAGGGAGCTTATACACAGTGGGAAAGTCAGCCCTGCGTGCGGTGCCCGGAGGCATGGAGGTTGTGAGAGACCTGTGGGTTACTGGTTTCCTGCGTCTTCCTCGGGGCCTTCGCTTGAGTGCCCCGTAGTTCTGCGTGATATTCACGACGAGCGGAGTACCATATTCACACGACTCTAGGACGAGTCGCAAAAAAATTAGTTCCTGAGGAAGTCCATGGCCGACACACGAGCAATACCCGCTAAATTTCTGAGGAGTTCCCGAAGTTTCCAAATAGATTATTCATTATGATCAATACTTTCTCCTTTGCCGAACCGAGTAAGATAAACTACTGTAGTTAAATTGTATGATGGAGCAGTGAGTATGGAGAATACCTTTCTTTGTTGCGTTAGTAGATATTCTCTGATCTAGACTTCCGGAGTATAGGCCACGACCGATTTTTGGGCGCACTTCTTGAGGAAACTTGTGGTCGTACCACAGTAAAGTACAGTTAGTCTGCGAAGTGCTGGATGGAAAAAAATTACGCTCGAAACGATTTTCTTGTCTCTCGCTCAAGAAGCCCAAAAAGTCATGGAAAAATACTTACAAACCTCTCTGTCATGTTTCCATTGCGCAGGCGAATGAACACGCAAGATTGTCGCACTGTTTTGTCGGAGCTGCTTGATGTTCCATGCACGAGGTCTTTCTTTGTTCAAACACCATCGCTTGATTTCGACAGACAAGGGTTATCAATCTTGGTTGGATTTTCTCATGATTCAGCTATGGAATAATGATCACGCGAGTTTCTGGTCGTTGTTTTTAAATGTTTTCCTTTCCCCTTCATTACCATTATCAGTTTGCCGCTCAGTCGAGCATCTCGAATGGAGTATGTGCATATCTGTATGTTGATTGTTTTCTGATAAACTACGCTAATGATGCTTCATTCCAAGTAGCCGTGCCCGGCGGCGAATGCATGAAGTGGATGAATTCTCCGACCTCATCATGAACTCGGCGATTTTGTTGAATGATGCGTAAAAGGTTGGCGTGAAAGATGGGCATCACGCGTTCAATAAGCCCCTCTGCTCTTGCGCGTTACAGTACTTTCACACCATGTCTTGGAACCGGACCACGTGACTTTCGTGGACACGGCTGCACGAATCAGTCTCGCAATATACGAAGCCGATTTCATTGCACAGCGACAGTACTTCCTTGGGTCTGAGCATGTGTCAGACAAGTTCATTTGATTCGAAAGCGTCATTCCTCCTATTGCATAGTTTTTACGTTTCTGGAAAAAATCTGCTCAAAACCTTCGGTTTTCATGTACGAGGGTTTTTTTTCGCCTGGTTTGTTGGTCGCATGCTTTCTTCGCGGATTGTGGTGATTGTTTTCATTTGGTTGAATGCTGACCTAATTTCTACGGAGTTATATTTAATCATTTTCTGGACTACTGTTGGCCTTGTTGTTCCCAAAGCCTGGGATAGAGAAAATTCTTTGAGTTGGACGTGTCTTTTACCGTATGGAAATGATATTTCTATACCAACCCGGAATTTTTCACTACAGTATATTAATTTACATGAAGTCCAAACGCTATCAAATAATAAGCGAATGAATGGAATAAAAAAAGTGTATTGTCAGTATCTGCAATCTATCGAACATGTTTATGATGTTAAAAAAAGTTCCGATTGTAACAATTTGTGTGCTATCGATGCTGAAAGTTAATATTGTCCTTTTCATCTATTGCTGGACAAAAATCCGATCCGCAATTTGAGAAATCAATTAGCAAATTAAGTGCGGCTTGATGATTCTCACTATTGACCCCGTGTGGTTCTAAAGAATTCTTAGTCAGAAAGTTCGGGTGCTCAATGAAGTTATACATTTATGAACAAAACTTCTTTACCTACCCTTCGCCTCAGTGCAAGCATATGGCAGACGCATTTGATCCGAGAACTAGAGTCATTTTCTTGAATCGTGTTAACGATGCGCCCCCCCCCCCCCCCAATAAGTTTCAAATCCTATCCTTGAAAGAGGAAAATTCACTACGTCATTTTTGCCTGCTCGTTGCTTTATGCAATCAAAGGAATACAGCATAAGCCAGTTCGCCTCTGAAAGCAGGGAAACTTTTGAAACTCTTATTTCGTCGGAAACACGTGGAAATCGTTCTGCAAGAATGAGCTATCGCGAGATTTCTGCCGAACTACGCTGGAGTACGGCATGAAGTACTATACGAGTACTTGTGGCATTCGATGCATGTGCGCCACTTCCTGCATTTAATGTCATGCAGACCCCACTGGAATAAAGGCTTCCATTATTTGTATGCTTTCACAGTGACCAGCTACTGATTTGCAGAAGTTTTTCCCTTAACCTATTCATGCAGTGGTACTGACGAATTCATAGAGTCAGCTATTTTTTACGAGCCCATTTTATTTTCCTCAATCGTATTCATTCTGCAGCCCTGTGCATATTTTGGGTTCTTTTTGTGTGTAAAGCACTCACAATTCTTCTGAGTTTTTTCTTTCCGTGCGAGCATTTCCTGTTGAATAGGACGTCACGAGTTCCTGTTCTTTTGAGGAGTCATTTACGGCCTTTCACTTCGCTTTTTTTGGAATGAATCAAATGGTTTCCTAGCCGAAATCGGACGGAAATCAACACGGCGCCCTCAGAAGGCCGGGTTATTTTGATTAAATTGAGATGGCGCCGGTTGACAAGACCGGCGTCGGCGATAAGGAACTGTGGAAAGGAAAGATGGGGGCGAGGACCCGGTTTGCGATGGTTATCGAATGTCCGAAGAAACTTGCCGGCCGCTCTCTGGAAGTTGTCGAATCCCCGTCACGTCGTTTGCCGCGACTTCCCCGGGGGTACCTGGCGTCGCTGCAATGGACCGCTTCTCATTGGCGATGCGTTTTATCGCCCATCCTGTCGCGGTTTTATGGGCCCGGTGTGACCCAGTTGGGGTCTGGGGGGGACTCTGCCCGGTCGGCTTTCATCTCACTTTCATTGCTGCCCTGGGGACATCGGCGCCGTGTATTCAACCTGTTGCGGCTTCGCGTGCCGCCACGGTCGCCACCGCTCTTGCCTGGCCCACGTCCGGGTCTTCTCGAAAGCGATTCCCTTGAAGACTGCCCTGGCTTTCATTATGCGTAGCTTTGTATTCCTCTCCCTGCTTCAGTTCGGAGAAAGTTTCTCGCTTGTAAAAACGTTTTGCGACCTATGAATCAGCTGTACACTCGTAAGCGGCTGTTTTTGGATAGCGGGATGCCTGGCAAGAGCGCTCGTATGATGTTTTCCGTCTTCTGATTTTAAATGTGGATATCGCGGGTTGTACGTGGGGATTGAAGTCAGTTCTCTGTTTGTAGATGTTGGTGAGGGGCCTTTCCTTTCTATCGCGATGACTGGAAAATCAAGAGCAATTAATGAAAACCTCGTCTGCTGATTCGTTTTTTCTTTCAAACCGATCGTTTTTATGGTACTGTATCTGGTATTTATGCAACTAAAAGGTCCCCTCGTCTAAAATTCTTCAATTTTTTTCGCTGAGAGGTTGAAGTGTGCGTGCGGTGCCCGATCCTTGAGTTTTGTTCGTCGCTTTGAGATGGACAAATTGAGGTGGACAGAGCTCGACAATTTATTACTATTATTGCTGGATCATTTTTTGAAAACTCGTCAAGTTTCACCCTTCCACATTAAATCATGATTTCGTTCATGGCATTTCTCGAGTTGCTTTTTATCGATCAAATTTTGCTGACCGTTGCAGATACTGTCATTTTACCTTCACGTGATCTGCAAAATTATTTTCTGTCATTCCGTCGAAATAGGATAGTCAGAATGGGTTCATAGAACGCTTGTTCATTAACTGCGTGTGAATGGCTGATTTGTAGATGAGCTACTGAGGGATTTTTTCTCGAAATTTTTACACTGTATTTTATCAATTTGCACTGTTATAATATATACTGCACTGTATTTGTATGTTTGATTATGTAGTACAGTATAAGTTTTGCGGATCGTATGATACTTGAACAAAGTAATTTTATTTTTTGCCCTCGAATGCATGCGAAAACACAGTGGTGAGGAAAATGTCCGCTTGGAGAAAATGTCGGGAGTAAATGCCACGACGATAAAATTCCGTGAGATAAACTGTTCCTGAAAGAAAATGTAGCGGGAGTGAGATTATGGTAATTCGCGTTATTTTTACGTTCTTATCCTTCTTAGCGAAACCTATATTTTGTATTTTTCATATTCGTAGCGGCCTTTTATTTTCCGGCATTTTCTCGGGGATCCGTTTTCCTCGCTTCAGCATCTAATTTCTGCGCTGAAACATTGATACATATTACCATTATCATTCAGCTCATGAAGCTATTCGTGTTTGTATTCTGCTGAAGATCGCAAAGCGCCCCGCGTGGAAGAAGCGACACGCGTTTCCGTGCTGAACATGGCGCACTCATTATGAACGGTGTCCCGGGGTCATGAGCCTGCTGCACTACGACACTTGAATGATGGACATGTCGTTCTAGATTTGTCTGCGCCGCGGATGCGGGTTGATTTGTCTCCCACTCGAGACCGTCAACTTATTTTCTCTTTCGAGATCAGCTCTGGAAATCGCGTGTGTTGTGTCGTCGGAGGAATCAGAGTCTCCTAAACGGAGCATGAGATCGCAGCGGCGTGACTGATGCGTCGTCCGAGCGCTCTGCCACCACGCCCTGCTGCGCTGTGCCCCGGGAAAGCGGGTGTACTTGCGGAACTTGATGCTGCGTGTCATCGGTGGAATTAAACATGAGTGGTTGTTGAGCAAACGTTTGGTCTTTTTTGTTTCGTTTTTGAAGACGTCTCAACAGGACCACCTGCTGAACTATGCATTGAGAATCATCAATCTTCGTGCTTGAAATACAGGAGTAAAATCCCGCGAGAGGTCGTTCGAGAATTGCACTATTCATTGTCCGAGTTCCTACTTCCTTTATGGCCTGTTGGATGATTCTAATCCCCAAGATTCGGTATTGATGCACAATATTGTGTGAAATTTCCGCCTGAAAGTGCAATATGTTTATTGAGATTTTTGGGGTTTTTTTGAGACGTGGTCTGTTGCAGTTGACACACTTGGCCTTCAATGGTAGAAGCGTATAACGTTAACTCTTGTTTGTTTCGCCGTTACCTTATGAAGTGCTCTACTTAAAGGCGTAAACTAAATATGAAAAGAAGCTGTGTGTATGACTATGCTGTTGAACCCAGAAGCTGATTTTATTCTATGCAAGTATACAGCGTATTTTTTCGTTTTGCGCATTTTTCTGGTTAAATGCGAAGCATCCAATTATTTTTAAGCAGGGTCTTAACTTCGTGTGCTTCTCTGAATAAAGGGCTCGTTCCCCTGAGTGTCTTCGTGAAGTACAATTTTTGTAATATAAGCGAGAAGATGTTTTCTTCGGCAGTCTCACATTACTTTACTTACTGTATTTTCAAGCGAAGGTTTCAAAAAATCGATGCTGCGTACGGGACACATAAAGGACGGAGCTGTGATTTTGACTTGTAGTAAGATCGAAGAATCGAGCGGTAGGTTATGATCGCAGCTTTCAATTGGGATTTCATGGGGAAAATCTAGTTGGAAAGTCGTACAGTGGAGGTCTAACTTCCGAGAAAGATTATCGTTAATTTCTAATTTTTTCAAGTTGTCCGTTTTGAACTTCCCTTTTTGGATATGAATGGGGGATGGAAAGTCGTTTACTTCCTGACGACGTGCGAGATCGGACAGCCCTGTGTAAAAAAAAAAAACAAGTCCTTGTTTGAAAGTGTTAGTTTTGTGTGTTTCAAGATATGCAGAATTTGGACTTATTCTACAATGACAATCGGGAAAAATGTAAGTTAGGGAAGAATCATTTGTTGAAAATGAAATGGAAGCTTGCTGAAGCCTGATTTGGCCTCCGACTGGAGCTTGAGTGCCGAAAGACCTGCTGTTCAAGTTACAACACGTACACCATTTTCGTTCGTAATACGGAAAACTTTGAAGCAATTGACTCCTGCTCCTGTTGAGTTCTGTTGCTCATTGGGGAAATGCTCATCTTCTCGTTCTGGATATTCTATGAATACCCGGAAAATCTGGACCTTTGATTCAGGACAGTGTTCCTGGAATCGGTTTCGATGTACAGTATTATGATGAGAAGGGTTGCGAAGCTTGATTCTTGAATGGAGTTCAGAATCATCACAGATCCCAGCAGACGATTTTTCACCATCTAGACATCTATGCCTCTGGGCATTCTAGTTTGGGCTCTATGACATAAACGATTTTTATGCGTAGAAATTGTCATGCATTTGTTTTATCTTATCTTAATTTTTGCCTCATTCGACAATAATCGCCAGAAAGTCTGGATTCTTGACTCCAATTTGCACCGCCCTTTTCCTCTGGTAATAATGATTCACTTTGGGGAAGCAAAATACAAGTATTTCCTGGGTACCTAAAACATCATTTGCTCCTTAAGATTGCGTTTGCACCTCTAACCTAACGTTTCCTTGGACAAGGCTTATATGCGGGTGATTTTGGAAGGTGTCCAAAATGTATTTTCAATTATTCCTTTCAATATCGTTACATTTTATGCATAGAAAACACAGGCGTTTTGCGTCGGTGAATTTCCAAGGAGGGATCTTACAAAAGTGTCGGTGATAGTTTCGTGACTTGTCAGCGGTGACGAGCTATGTTGCCGGCATTCATAATCAAAGCATGTTCAGTTCTGCTTGTGCTTCGGCTGAGATAGAAAAATGAAGAGTCTGAAATTTTTCTTTTCACTTCCCTGAACAACTGTCGTAGAGCGAGATGAAATCTTGATTTTGTTTCTCTGTAAAAGTTGAGAATGTTATGGTCATCCGTTATGTGCTGTCGAGTTTCTTTCGTTGAATCTAAATACGAATGAAACTAAAATATAAATTTTCGATCGCACCGCTGTCGAGTATTTCTGTCTGATTCTAATCCGCGTTAAATTCTACTGCATATACTTTTGCCGATCATTGTAATTTACCACTTTTTTGTGCCTAGACTCTCTATTTGAGACTTGACTTCAATTTTTACGTTATTATCAAGTGATCGAAACTGTCGGCCGAAAGAAGCGCTTTTTTCAAATTTTGAATTCAATAACTTTTTCGGTTAAAAGAACAAACGAATTTTACCTCTTATTTTTCACAATGAATTTTGAAAGGCAACGAAGAGAAGTTGCCGCAACAGAGAAAAAACCGCGTTCATTTTTGTGTTTGATTTTTCATCTAATTCAGAAAATAGTATACTGTAGTTCATTCGATGAATTTATTATTCCTTCCATAGTTAACTTTACGTTATGCTAACTATTACATTTTTATAAATGTATGATTCGTTTCGCATTTTTTTAAGTTTCCTTTTTTCCCATTTTACATTTTGCTCCGCTTCATCTATCACCACGGCACTTCCTCATGGAACCAAACGAAATTGCCGAATTGCTGCAATTGTACGGTTTGTACCCGGCTCCCAGAGATTACGGTATCCGATGCTGAATTACCGTGCGACCATTCAGTCCTTTCTCGCAAATTTGCTTTCACTCGATTGCGAATTTCTTCGGTCATTTCTCCAGTCGGTTCAATTATTCGATGGTTTGCTTCAATCCGTGGTCCGCGGGGAAATGTCCTTCCATATAGCTAGCAAAAAAATCGTGACCCAATCTGCAGAATATTTTCCTTTAATATAGGGTGTACTGTGCTTGTATGTGCAGTATTGTTTTTCGTATACAACATTTGATTTATAAGGAGGAACAAATAAGTTACCCATTTTCCTCAGACTGAAGAAGGGGGATTGTTCCTCGCGTTGAAACTGGGAACGCTTTGATGCAAAACATTTCGTCAAAGCAGTCAGGTCCCTGGCCTTGTTATCTGTAATGAATCCCCCTATGCTTTGTTTCTTGCAGTTGAAGGACGGAGTGCGCCAGAGAATATTAATAGAAGGAGGAAGCGGTACTGGCAAGACGACGCTGGGCGTGAAGCTGGCCTACGACTGGGGTAAAGGCGACGTAGGCGCCGTACAGGGTTACCATTTGTGCTTCGTCGTCCCGCTGCGTTACTATGACGGCAGTCTTCTGAACTTGATCCAGAAAGAATTACTACCGAAGCAGTTTTCGGGGAAGGCGACGCTGCTTGACATGTACGAATACATGCGCAATAACGACGACAAGCTTTTGCTGATCCTCGACGGATGGGACGAGCTCGCCACGGCGCGAAACAACCCGCAGTCGCATTCCGAACTCGTTGATATCATCAAGGGACGTGTTTTCCCGCGTTCCTGCGTTGTCGTCATGACGAACCCCGGTGAGTGTGGCCCGCATCTCGACGGGTTCTTGCGAACATCTGGGTGAAGCCACTTCATTTGATGACTCTTACAAACTTCACACATCACCTTTTCTTCTTTTTTTTTTGTTGTTGCTCGATTTTTATTTTAAACACCGCAACAAGAATTTTCAGCTGGATGTCTCTCCGTTTTTCATTCTGTTTTTCATTTCTCGCGGACATTCTTGCGCTTGGCGGCGAAGACCACTGCGAATTATTTTTTTTTTTTATTGAGCCTTACACCTGCCAGAACTAGGGCCCGAGCCCAGTCGTAAATACTCGGCGGAGGAACTCGTGGCAAGGTCATTTTACCCACTACGGAAATTTGAGCAGTAGCCTTGACGCGCCGAATTTGATCGCTGGTTCATAACACAATTGACGGAATCGATAAAATTTATTCGGAATCAATTTTAAAAATCATTTACCCATATTTTGTATTTGCTTTTTCATAGTGGGTATACACAGTCAATGGAAATGGATGATTTTCCAAGAGCATTGGTGCTCTACATGCAATTAAGGTTTGAAAAAAAATCTTTGATAAAAAAGAAATGTTCTTGTGCACCGAATGCAAGCCATCACTGATGCAGAAAGGTTGTTCCGGTTTACTCCCATCTTCCAAAAACTATGCAGGATCTGCGGGGAAAAAATTTTTTTCGAAGACCTAAGTACAGTATACGGAAACGCAATTCCGTAAAACAATTTTCTATGGTTCTTTTGTTCTGACACGCAGAAAAACAATGCCCAGTAGCTGAATCCAGAAGCGTTTACAGAGCTGGTTGTGTTCCGGTGCGAAAAATCCGCTGAAGGCATTGGTGGAGATTAGATTCTACTGCATTTGTTTTCATTCTCTTTCATTTCTGTTCTTGCTGCTTAGATACTTTGTACTGTACTGTATTTCTCAGTGTTCATGTGCGGCGTTCACGAAGTTGAGGCTTTGTTTTGTCTTCAGGTGTCGGCGGATGTGAGCTGAGGAAACTTGTTCAACGTGTGTACTACATGCGTAACTTCGACGCGCCGCAGATCCGGCAGTTCGTCCACGGTTACTTCAAGAGTATCGACAAGCCGGATGAGGCTGAAAAGGTGCTATGCAGTAATGTCATGCAGTCAGCGGACTTGCGCTGTACCTTGTTGGGAACTCCGGTCATGTGCTTGATGACGTGCTTGCTATTCGAGGAGAGCAATGGGAGCTACGTGATGGAAAGCGCGTCGCGAATCTACGAGGACCTTACGCAAATGCTCCTGCGGCGAGCGTCGGAAAAGCGGAGCGGAATATCGAAGCATATCGTGACTCGTGACGTTTCCGACTTCTTGCTTCGGGTGCTAGGGAAACTGTCGCTCAAGTTTTTCGGCACCGAAAGGGCGCTTTTCTATGAGCAAGAGCTGAAGGATTCCGATGCGTATCAGGCGTTGGAGCTGGGCTTGCTGAGCAAAGGATGGTGCATGAGTCGTCGAGAAAAGCACGTGCTGGTGCATCCGCTGCACAAGTCGTTTTTACATTTCTGGGTTGCCAAGTACCTGGCGAGTATTTCGCCGTCGAGAACTATTGAAATGCTCGACAGTGTTCGTTGGATCGAGCCTGATCTCTGGCTGCGATTTCTGGTTGGCTGTATGAAACCGAACGCACATCTGATTTTCGAACGGTTCAAATTCGAGGCGATTCCCACTAAGCAACTCTTCGCCCTGCTGAAGGAGAATGGTCACCACAGCCGCAGTGTTCATGCCGTTTGTGAACTTCTGAACACGAAGGCCAGAGCTCAGATCCAAATGGATTCTGTGAATCTCGAAGGATGGGCAATGGTGAGCTTTCTAATTTGTTTCATATTGCCTTGGTACTTATTTCGTGGCCTGCCTGCTCTCCAGTTGAACTCTAATGTTTCGAAGAGTTCAAGTCAGCCTGGCGTAATGGTAGTCTTGGAATTTTACCTTATGCAGAGAAAATTTTGCGATTTCTCCTGCTCTCTTTTACTAATTCCAAATTTACTTTCAATTTCGATCTTATTCAGTGATGGGGATTTCCTCCTTTCCTCTCCCGATTTATTTAATCTTCTTCTACCAAATTGTTGCATGATTCCTTTGATGTACTGTATATCCTTCCTTGGGATATTCAAGCATCTGCTTGAGCAGAATATGAGGAATTTCATTCTTCCCGCAATTTTTTTTACGGAGATTGAGCGTATCGACGCTGAATTAAATCGTGTCCGTGTTGCATATGTTGCTGGTGTTTTCTCAGTAAGGTGTGGGTGTAAACGAGTTTCTTGTATGCGTGACGCATTTCGTTAGCGGTTAACGGTTTTCACACTCAACATAATAATTGGAATGAATGTGCTAGTCATTTCATTCTCACTGGTTTCCGGTTGCAGGTGTTGAGTGATCCCAGCTGCTCAACAGACACCGTCGAAATCATCTTGAAGCAGCGCGCAGTGCTTTCGGATCAGTGGATGGATCGGCTTTTTGCAGCCCTGCGACTCAATGAAAGCGTGAAAACAGTGAAACTCGGCACTTCCTTGGGCCAGGACTTGAGTGCCACAGATATCAAAGTGATCTCGCAGTACATACGAATGGTTATCCAGAAACCAAAGCTGCAGTCCCTGGAGCTTGTGTTCAGAACTGTGGATGAAGATAAAACCCAACACAACGCGTTTGCCCCGCTGATCCAGTGCTTGTGCTGCGAGTTGCGGCGCGGAGCAGCTTCGCCGACGTTGAACAAATTGATAATTGACATGGACATGACTCCCGAGCAAGTTGTGGCTCTATGTAGAGCTCTAGAATGCTGTCCCAGCGTCCAAGTTGTGCATCTTCTGCACTTGGTGTGCACTCAACGCGCGTTCCTCGGTGTCGCGGAACTCGTTGCGGCGCGGCCGCTGTTGGCGTTGAACCTGACCGGCGCTTGGTACCCCAGTGACAATGAGGAGCCGGATAGTTTTCAGACAGGTTCACTTTTTGACGTGAAGTCGACGCGTTCGAGCAGCAGTGGTGCCACGAGCCCTGCTTGGGCGAGTTATGGGATCGAAGTTGGTTCTCTGCGACGCTTCAACACCCTGCGGCGTAACCCACACCCTCCGCCGATCTGCGATTGCTGCGAGCACTCACGAATTTCAGGTAAGAGTCTACAGTACTGCAGCACTTGACACACACCCTTCAAATGTGCCATCTTCCAGCACACATATTTGGTCACCAAATTGTATTACCCGCTATACTTCGATCCCTTGTGTTGATGCATCAGTAAGCTTCTACATATGCAGTATATGTATGCTGTCCATGATTTTCCCAACAAAAGAGTTGAGCATCAGATAATGGACTTATTGAAGCTATTATTTAGAAATGTATTATGCTGGAAGTCATCGGGACCAACAATTAAATATAGATGTTATTCATGAATTCTCGCTTTTTTTTAATGGTGAAAGAGTACATTTGAACTTAATTTAAAACAGGATTAGTTCATCAGGAATAATTGTTGTTTCTTTTCCCAACGTTTTATGTAATATAGCGGTGAATGTATGCTACGCACTAAATAAATAAATAACTCAATTAAAACAAGTATGTGGCGGGTAAAGCTCTGCTATTCTAATCTGACACCAAAAAAAAACGCTTTTGCCAACATAGTACAGTACTGTGCAATAAACATGCAAAGGATACATATTCTACGGAATAGGGTGATTTTTGCAGCCTAAAGTAATTATTTATCAGGTTAAGGAAAAACCGCCTTTCGATCCTCCACAAACTTGTATTTTAACGAGGACTCCGGCAAGAAAATCTTCGGCATGGAGGGGTCTCCATGTAAAAAAAAAATAAAAATTGAGATCCTCCAGCTTATAAACATGACTGACAACGTATAAGCGGCAATTCTTCTTAATGGCGAACACTTGAACTGAACTGACGAAAAGCTAGCGGATTTTTCAAAATTACATGGTTAGAGATTGTTAACTTACACATGTTGTACAGCCATCAACTTGAATATTTGTGCGCGAATTTTCATTTTACAGTATTATGGTTGTTTTTTTTAGCGAATAACCCAGAAATCTCGATTTGACAAATTTGTCGTGGATCTACGAGAGATTGAAGCTTATCTTAAGGTTTTAGAGTTGTATTTCTTAGGTGAGGCGACAATTCTTTGTATAAATTAATAACCGAGCAAAATTCTTGTTACAGTACCGAACATTCGCCTTGCATGCCTCTGCTGGTGAACCCCTTTTTTTTCCTGAAGTCTAGTACTGGTTGAAAGGTTTTGTACGGAATTCCGGATCAGACCACTGCTTAACCTGATGTTTTTGAATCTTCCTTCACTTTAATTTTATGCTAAGCTAGCGTTTGAACTGGGAAAGAGACTTGTCAAACGCTCAAACCCTTAAAAAGAACAGGAGTACCTGTCCTGTTGATCGTTCTTGCTCATGTTACGGCGTCCTTGCTTCTTGTAACGTTACGCTCGTATTAATAGTCTTCGCTATTTTGGTTCGTGCTTCTCGTCAGCGCACACCGGCCTGTTTGAGTCTGGTTGTTGTAGGACAGTGACTCCTATTCATGTATAACTCGTCGTCGACTGTTTGCACCCCTCTTTTATTAAGAGCCAATGACCTGTGTTCCTGGTGGGGAATTTCCGGAATCTGATTTGTTCTGAGACCGGGAACATTTACCTTAGTCGTTCCCTCGTTGATGACGAGTCGCTGCGGGTTTGCGACAGGCATGGGCATAAGCCTGTATGAATAGTTATGAACCCATTGCGCGTTCCCTGAATGTCACTTCGAACCAGTACCTGCATAAAAGCTGAAACAAATGATGCCTTAAATCCTTCTTTACGATGCTCGAAAGATGGTTGAAGGATGTAAACTCTCAACGGTGACCTCAACTTATTTGAAGGCATTTACTTTTACAGCACAGTACAGTACTGTCTAGTTTATCGTGTTGGTGGGAGGATAACTAATGATCAAAGCGCGGCAGGAGGATTTAGCCCGCTTTTGAGTTTAAATTACGTAATTTGTCTCGTAATTGATGATGGTGAGTTTTTATCCTTCCAGGTTTTCATGAGATTTTCCAAGTTCTGAAGGATGAATGTTGCCGACTCAAGACTCTGAACGTTACGCATTGTTCGTTCTCACTCGGATACGATCGCTGAAGTCGTTGAATATCTCTGGCTGGACTGTGAAATTGGAGGTAAATACGTTTTAAAATCCCATTAATGTCTCCAATGAAGCTTGAAAGAGAAGTTTAAATTAAGGTACTCTCGTGATGGAAAGATAAATTACTGTAAATACGGTATTTTATCTGGTACTTTTTGCATGCACCCAACAATGCTTAGTGAGCGCCTTGCAAGGCAACTTTCGCAATCAACGCGGCATAGCCAGAATATGTTGAGCTGCCTCAAAAGTCAGACAAAGTTGATTGAATAAACTTTAATTTGACCCCTTCAACTACGTGTTCTGTATTGGTTCATTAAATATTGGAGCTTGAATACAGTATATGCAGTAGTAAGTTTTGATTTTTTATTAATTAATTTTTTTCGTTGGTACGAATCTCAGAAATATGTCCAGATGTTGTAAAGATTTTTCTGTTTTTAAATGTCCGAATATTCTTACTGTAAATGCGGACGATCTTCCTCTGCTGAAGACTTTTGAACAGTCCACGATTGGTTGCTTAGTGTTGATGCGCTTCATTGAAATGTATTTCTTTTCAGGAAGCGAGATCATTGCATTGCTTGGGAAGCTTTCTAAAAACATGCACCATAAGAGATCTGAATTTGGCTGGATGCAAGATATTCGTCTCCGTGGAAGATCCCGAAAAAGGAAAATATGATTCATTGCTGGAAACTTTATCTAAGGGTCTTCAGCCATATCCTGAGTGTGAAGTCGCCTTCTTGAATCTGTCCGGCTGTCAAGTGATGATGATGACTTCTCGCGGACAAGTGACCCTGCAGGCGTCAGATCTGATACCGTTTTTATCCCCCCTAGCCAAACTGACATCTTTGAATGCGAGTTTGAAGCGTGGTAATGACCCTGTATGCAAGATTGGGGAGAAGACAATTATCAACTTTTTTCAAAGTCTTGGTAGCAAACTCTCCAACTTGAGGCGTTTGACCATTTCGAATTGGTCGGCGCAAATTGAAAACTCCGAGAAAGCCTCAAAAGTGATAGCAAAATCATTGAAGCAGTTGGATCTGAAAGCTTTGACGGTCAACCGTCTGCAAGTCGTGGACGGTCTTGGACAAAAATCATTGTCGCATATTTTTTTGTCAACTCTTCTGCTTGGACTGCCGCAGTTGACGTATTTTTCAATCAAAGGGACCGTAATGTCTGTCGAAGAGGCTGCTGTTGTAGCCAGGTGTATAGCGGAGAGACATAAAGGTCCGTTCCTGGACTTGTCCGTGCGACATTTTCCACCGGAAGTGTTGAAAGAGTTCCGTGCGGTTTTGATTGCCTCGGGGAAATTTTTCCCGTCTGTGATACGCTGTGCTGCGTGTCACAACGAGGAGCTCAGAATTGAACTGCGGCCTGCGCAGAACACCGGAGTTTGGGACGCATTTGCATGCAGTCTCAAGTGAAGAATTTCTCTAACGACTATTTCCTTCGAAGAGTTTTCCACGCTGATCGCGACCGTACCTGTGCCAATATGAATGTTTTACACTTGCCTTCGTGATTTGTGGCGGTGAAGCATGCGCTGTAAGTTTTCGTTATTTTCACTTGTAAAGGTTCACTTCTGACTTCCATTGAAATTTTCTTCGGATTGCTGTGATATATTTTTTCATAGATCGAAGCGTCGTTGAACTTTGAGCCATAATGATGGATTTATAGCAAAATTCCCTTTAATTCTGAATGTAGATGAGTTGCTGTTAGCCTGCAATTGCTGGTGACATCAACACTTGATGTCCATTTGAGTTATAGACTGGATTTCCTAAATGCTGTGATGTTTGCTTGGAATAATTTATACCTGGTGTTGATGTTTTGAAACTCGGAATACAATTGAGGGTTAAACGAATTTGGTGCATTTTATTCAAGAATTGCTTTCAATTTTTTTCCTGTCTCTAGGAAAAGTGTATTGTACACAACACTGTGTACTCCGTGCCGTTTTGAAAATGTGTGGCCACAATCAGCAAGATTCGTTGCAATTGTTCTGCACGGTGAACAATCTACAGTAATAGTGTGAAATTTAAAGCTGCCATCTGTCTGTCTATCATGTGGAACTCTCCCGATTTGCTTTTAAAATATCGATTCGTGTTCAAGAACGTAATTACTGTAAAATACTCTTATTATTCCACTGAATTAATGGTGGCTCGACTAAAATGTAGAATTCTCTAGATGATCTAAATTCTTCACAAACCCCTTTGATCAGTTTCTCGTCTTCTTCCTAATGAAGATTACGGGACTGACGGATCAATCGTTGTCTGCTGACTTGGAAAGTGCCTGATGGAATATGCAAGGGGCCTTCTTCATGAAAATCTTCTGAAATTACAGATCTGAAGGACTTTCTTCTGATGAGAGGTAATTCACTTGGAATGATTCACGTTTTTTTTCCTACAGTTGGATGATTTTTTGTGACTTGCTCAAAACTTGAAGGAACATATACCAGCTTGATTATCTTCATGAAATTGCTGACTTTTTTCTTGCATTTCTTCCTTGTGAAAAGTGGTTTGTAAAATTATTTTGCGCATGTCATTGATTTAATCAATTGAAGAAAATGACTGCAAATGGAAGATATTTTCCCCAGATTTAGAATATTTTTTTCCACAACTTGAAAATCACTGTTGTTAAAGTTTAATGTGGGAGTTTAAACGATAGAAACATGATTTCAACGTTCTAACATTATCTAGGCACACCAATTGTGTCTGGAATTTCTGTGGAATTCAGCTAAACTAATGTATAATTTTTTCTAGAATATAACTTTGAACTTGTGTCGCAGTTCTCGTATATGTCTCATTTTAACAGCAGTCATCAGCGCAGCATATTTAATCAAGGAAAAGTGTCTCGGCTTTAATATACAATATTGGTTATATGACACCATATCAGCACAATTATTTTCCTGAGAAAATGTTTTCATTGCAGATATGATGGTTAAACCGCATCCCCTGAGATCCTCATATGTTCCCATACTGAACATGACTGCATTCATCTGGCTGTGATGTTACTGATGTACGAGCAATCTTTTTGGCAATGGTTTTTCTTTATCCCACCCCGTGATACTCTCACGTACTCCAGACTCGCTTCTATTTTGAATCTACTAGATGGCCAATGCATACGTTGATACGTTCTTGAAGTAAGAAGAATTCATGCAAAGGTTTCTGTATGCATATATATACTCCGGGATTCCAGAAGAAATGCAGCAGACATTTGTAGCGACACCTAAGTGGCATTCGTGAAACGCGCGACCTTTTGTTTTCGGGAATGGTCGTTGCTGTATTCAGGTTGCGAATTTGCCCAGAATCACCGCGGATGTAGCACGCAAGAGCTCTACCCCTTACTTTCGGTTATCGTCACCTTGTTCTCCTATGTCTTCGCCATTACGTGAAATGTTGGATCATGCCGTCGTACGACTCGGAAGTAAGCAGTGGGAACGTGATCGTGGGTTGCCCGCGAGAAACTGTCTTACCATGTGATGAAATATTTCGGCAGGGAGTATACGTTGAAGCTTTCGATGAGGATTTCGGATTGTTCATTTGAACGTTCGGATATGTCCTATGTTAGCGTATGTGGAAGAACGCGCTTTCGAAACAAGGGCTGCGTTACGTATTTGAACTGTGGAACGAGTAGAGTGAGATTACTCTAGTCGACTAAAATCTTCGGCGCCGACAAATCGCGTCTGCCGTACTCTCTGCAGGCTATTCTTCGCCGAAAATTTTTTTTCGATCAACTACGCCAGGAAAGATTTCTTGCCAACCGCAAGACGTAGAATATCGTAAAAATGCACACATTGATCATGTTTCCAGCTCAGGAAGTCAGAAGTTCTTGATTTTGTTCCTGTGACAATATTTCGAATCGTTGTGTTGCTTATTTTTTCATAGGGTTACCATTAAATCCCTCCAAATTGTCCATTTATCTGATGGTTTTCAACCCTATTAGTCCTCTGCATGTTTTTGCAAATGAAACATTCCATCCACAATTTTTTTTTCTAGAGGAAGAGCTGCAATTCAACTCATACTTTTCTTTTTGAGTGAATTTTTGTTGTCCTTGCACCATATTTCCCAGTAGAAAAAATCACATATTCCTAAGCATTAAGAAGAAGGAATCACATAATATTCAGTTCATCACAATTATAAAATGGCACAATGCATTGTAATTTCAATTAGTTTTCTTTTATCCATATTTCCCAGCAGAAAAAATCACATATTCCTAAGCATTAAGAAGAAGGAATCACATAATATTCAGTTCATCACAATTATAAAATGGCACAATGCATTGTAATTTCAATTAGTTTTCTTTTAAAAAATGCACTGGAAATAAATGGATTATGCTTCACTTGTGTAACATTCCCTGAAAATGAGAACAGTTGCTGCAGAAAGCTGCATGTGTGTGCCAGTTGAAAGCATGGGAGCAGGGAGTGTTCAAATTCAAGTGTACACTCCCTGTCTGAAAATTATGGAAGCTTCTAGGAATACTAACTGAACTTGGGTATTTTATGTTTAGACTGTAGGCATCAAGGAAATACTTTTTAGGAGTTTCATAGAAAGAATAATAAAAATAAATCATAAAACTTGCTGCAAACAGGTGAATTTTGCTGGAGATTTTAGCTAAGGTAATATCTTGGGTCTAGTGTACTTTAGCGATGCCAGTGTAATGGGTCTAGTGTACTTTGGGATAGGATTAAAAAAAAATTTTCATTGTGGCCTTATTAGTGGAGGGTAACGACGCGGCTCAGTAAAAACGACGCCGCGTCTTTGCAAGGGTACATAGAGGGCAGCACGGTAAAATTAATGGCCGCGCGCTTCGACGCGCACAGTGCATTTCACTGGCATTGCTAAAGTACACTAGACCCAATATCTTTGGGGTCCACGGGCCAGTTTGAAGGCCTCTGCGGGCCAGATCTGGCCCGCGGGCCGTATCTTGGGCACCCCTGCTGTTGATGTTGGAGCCGACGTGAATGAGGCCCATCTGTTTCTCAAATCCGTTGTTGGGTGGACTAGGCAGTCCCTGGTAGGGGACCATTTCCCATGCATTGGCCCTTTGGACGTCGGGTCTGGCCCCGTTTAGCTTATGTGGATGCAACGCGTCGTGTCTGTTCCACCCCTGAAAAGCAATTAATCGAACATTCCCATATTACTGTAAATGTATTAATGACAGGAAAACATTATTCACATTATATCAGTGTTCAGCAAGTTTACGCATTCAGTTCTACTGTGGTTTCCGGATCGACAGCGAAGCTCCAAATATTAAGTTTCGTAAACAGTTCAAATAAATTTATAAATTTGCTCCTTGAGAGGAAACCAAGGCAGCCTAAGTACTGTATCCGGCCTATCGTACTTCGAGATCTTTACGCAATGTCGGTAGTTCCTGTATTTTTTCAGG